CACCTTGTACAAAGAGAATGAAGTAAAACCCTCTCTCCTAAATAGGAGAGGACTTCAGAGGCATCGAGTTAACTGAAACTCAAAAGGGGGATCACAAATCAAAGGGGGCTGTGCTGACCTACGAAAGCATTGTCCTTGCATCACCAGAGAAATGGACTGTGCTTTTACCTGTTGCCATCTGATACATATAGCTCAACCATAAATAACTAGCTGATGCACCCATTGAACTGCTGCTTTCATGTTGGAGTTTCTTTCTGTGCCCCCAAGAAAAGCAACATCAGCATCATTTCCCAAACTCATGGAAAAAGTTAACTGACTGCATCCCATAGTTGTTTCCCTGTATCTTTATTTCTTCATTTCACTAGGTGTGTGGCAGTCTGAACTGCAGTAGAAAGCACAGGAGTGACACCACTGAAGCTATAACATGAAATTGGATATGTACAGTATATTTTTCCCCTTGTGATGGCCCTCATGGATGAGCTCGCAGTGAATTTGTTTAATTTGTTTGATCCTGTGCTCTGACTTTTCAGGATTCATGGACATGGGCAGATGCAGCATTTCAAATTGGCTGGTGGGTTTAAAGCTCACTTCATTAGTCTCTATAAAAAATATAAAACTGCTTCTTTTTTTTCATTATTTTGCACTAGTCTTGCTTTTTTGGGACTGTGACAGGTAACTCTAATTCTTGCTTTCCTTTGTGTTATGTACCTGAATCAAGAGAATTAGCAGAAAATGTGGCACTGCTTCAGTGTCAGTCACTGAAGGGAAGAGCTCGGTTTCTTCAACAGCTTGTGTTCTCTGCAGCTTTTAGAAGGAACATTTAAAAACAGAGTTTGCCAAAGCCTTTCTGGTCTCACTTCACAGGATAATTTCATACATCATTTGTCTGCAAGGTTGGCTGGGGGGCAATTTTATTAAAAAGTTCAATGTAAAGCAGTGGAGAAAGGGAAAGAAGGCAGAAAGCAAGGGACTGCTCTTATCCCTTGTGGAAAAACCTAAAAATAATTTGGTGAGGTTGGAGTGGAGGAAATTGTCCAGGGAGGTGGTGGACTCACTGTCTCAGGAGGTGTTTTAAAAAAGCCTGGACATGGCACTTACTGCCATGGTCTGGTTGATAATGTGGCGATCCCGGTTGCACTGGATGGTCTCAAAGGCCTTTTCCAACCCAAATGATCCTGTGATCCTGTGACTGCTAAACCAGGGCTGACCCAAGCAGCTGGAATTACACCAGGAACCATAAGCAGGACTCAAGAACCTGAGTGAAATTGCATACAAGTGATGATGATTTATTAGTCAGCATCATTGGGTACAGAAAAAAACATGGTGTAGAAAGTAGGTGGAGGAGGCACATGCTCATGGAGACTTAGAAGCAACTGCAGATCAAAATTTTTCCTTCAACAGACCCAAGGTGGGACCCTAATTTACCTGGCCTGGAGAGAATTTAGCAAGGTACCACAGAGGGGTATTATTTGGTGTAAAACATGCTATCCTGAAAGCCACAAACTGGTCAAAACTGTGTGAGGTAAAGCAGGACATGACTCTGACTTTCATCGAATGATTGAAGGTGACTGCCAGAAAATACACTAATCTGGATCCTCAGAATGCAGAGGAGGCTGTACAGCTAGAAACTATCTTTTTAGTTTCTATAAAGATAGAAATCGTTCATATATATAGAAATATAATTTCCATATAGGACAGACGGCGCCAGATATTAGAAGCAAACTCCAGAAAATGGAAGGAGCGGAGTGGTGTGACTCAGGAAAGTTGTCAGATGACGTTTGGAAAGCATTTTCCAACAGGGATAGAGAGGGAAAAGGCAATGTGACCGGCTGGAAAGGAAAACGAGAGCCACGAGAACGCACTTGGAACTCTAGAGGGTGCTAAGGGACCGCCCAACAGGGCACGAGAAAAAGGAAGGTGAGGTGGAAAAAGGGGAACAAGGGGAGGCAGGAGGCTCCCATCGTTTCCCGGACAAGGATTAGAGGAAAAGCAGAGCGCACTTGGTAAGGAAAAGGGACCTTGGACCCTGCCTAACAGGGGGGAAATATTGAAGGGAAACGGGAGATTCTACATCAGCTTAACCCCTGAGGCTAGGAAAAGAAGAACTGAATTTTTGGTAAGCACAGGGGTAACTTATTCTGTATTGAGTACACATGTAAAGGAAAGCTTAGGAAGGATGTGGTAAATGTAAATTGGTAAATTGCAAATTGTTACACGTAAATTGGCACATGTTGTAAATGTACACGATGTGATAAGTATAACTGGTGCTACAGGGGAAAGTGAAACTCGGTCATTTTTACAGCCCATGAAATTTAAATTAGGAAACAACTGCATTACTCATCAGTGTCTATATATGCCTTAATGCCCAGTCCCCTTGTTGAGGAGAGCTTTATGGGGAAAATTGGATTCTCAGATAACTTGTGGGGACCTGGGGGTCCTGATGCAGAGGTTGGGAACCTGGAGGAGACCTGTGGACTATTTCTCCAACCAGCTGGACAATGTGAGCAGAGGATGGCCAGGATGCTTGCGAGCATTTTGCTGCAGCAGTTCTACTGATCCAAGGGGCCAGGAAGCTCAGGCTGGATAGCACATCACTGCTTTTGTTCCTCACATGGTGACATCCATATTAGAGCAAAAGGAGGGGCATTGGCTGTCCCAGCAGGATGCTCAAGTTGTGCTCTTGGAACAGGATGATGTGGAGTTAAAGACAACAGCAGCCATGAATGCAGCAGTTTTCCTTGATCCAAAGGCAATGGGCAAGGGAGCCCTGACACAGGATTGGCTCCAAACCATGGAACGGGTATATTCCAGCAGGATAAACCAGTAGAGAGTCCTGATTTAGAATTATTTACAGATGGCAGCAGTTTCATGAAAGATGGAAAATGGATGGCAAGATACGCAGTGGTGACTGCTACTGAGGTATTGGAAGCTCAATCTTTACCAATCAATACATCAGACCAAAAATCAGAGATAATAGCATTAAAACAAGCATTTAACTTGGCAGTGGGCAGAAGAGTGAATATCTGGATTGATCCTAGATAAGCATTTGTTGTAATTCATGCCTCTGGAGCCACATGGAAGGAAAGAGGACTGCTGTCAGCTCAAGGATCATCTATTCAACACAGAGAAGAAATTTCACAACTTCTGAAAGAAGTTGAAAAACCAAAGGAGGTGGCAGTGATGCACTATAAAGCACTTCAATCTGGACAAACTAATGTTAGAGTGGGAAACCGACTGGCAGACAAGGCAGCTCGAGGAGTAGGTGAAAAAGGCATCCCAACCTTCTTTTTGTGTTAGTGCCACAAAAATAAATTGACATAATTTAAGGCTAATTCTGACAGTGAGGATCAATGTTTAGAAAATATATTAAAAGCCAATAAGAATGAAGAGGGATGGTGGGTAACACATCTAAGTCTTCTCTAATACACCAAAGAATTTAGGAGAAGGAGACCAAAAGACTGTTGATCAATTCCTATATAAATACAACATCAGTAGATCATCTTTCTTTCTTTCTTTGTTATTTGTACATCAGAAGCCTCATTCCAGCAGACATGGGTGGATGGATGGATGGATGGATGGATGGATGGATGGATGGATGGATGGATGGATGGATACTGCTAAGGCATGTTTATACTGCACCACTACTTTTATAATTAGAGAATGGCAATTGGATTTTAGTCTGCCTTGGGAGAAAACATTATGTTCATGAATCCATTGGTTCTGCTCCGCAACTCTAAAATGTAGCACCAGGGCTAATGATTCACCAGTTTAATGTGAAAGGGCTGTGATTGCAACAAGGGGCAGCAAGTCTCACGAGCTGCTGTCCTGCCTCCAACAAACATTTATGCACCAGTCCCAGGAGGTTCCCAAACACAAATAGTTACACATTACTGCAGTGCATTTTTTTCTGTCACAGCTATTCAAGAGAAAGATTAGGAGAACCCAATTACATGACTGTAATAACACTGTGCATAGCCACGAGCACTAACAGAAATTTTAAGCAATTCTACAAGACAGAGAAAATTAATGGGTCGTTGAATGAAGCCTGTGAATATAACCAGCCATAGGACTAATAGTATCCAGGACAGGAGAATCAACATGGGATTGAGGGGATTGAGGGGGACTTGGCTGGCCATGCAGGAAGTTTGGGAGTGGGACCTGTGAGTGAACAAACTCTCAGCTGCAGGAGTGGCATAGTAGGACATGAACAGGTATGGGGGATGATGGCAGAGCCTTAAAATAAGAGGTAAAAGAGTTGCTGCATATGAAAAAAAAAAGTATATATGCATATGCATACATATATGTTGCATATATATATATACATGTGTGTCAACATACACATATATACATATAATTTCATATGTATATAATGCTGAATATAGTTATTCAGTGCAAATTCTTTCACTTCCAAGTCAGGAGACTGGATGGTCAGAGGTAGAACAATGTGAGTGCAGGAGCAGAAAAGGTACTGAAGGATGGAGAAGAATCTGAACTCCATTTAAACAAGGTCAGTAACATGACCTTCAACCCACTCCCCTCAGGGCAGGGGCGGGGAGAGAAATAATTGGGAATGAACAAACTCAGGGACCCTTTCTGCTCATAGAAGGGAAGGGTCAGGCCTGCAGAGATCTCACGATGCCCTTCACTGAAGTAGTTAAACATCTAAAGTAAGAACTTGTAGCCACAACTCTTCTGATCTGACTGGAAGGTTTTAGAAATCTCTTCAAAAGAGGAAGAGAACTGGACAAGTAGAATAACAAAACAAGACAGGCAGAAAAAATCAGGAATTGCCTGAAAAGAGGGAAAGCAAAAACCTGAAGGGCAGAAAGTGGTAAAGCAGGAGGAAGACATTGGAATCAACACACAGCACAGAAGCTGCTCCTTCTCCTGGCCACTGGACTGGTGAGGATGAACTGAAAATAGAAAGGACAAGAAGACTTCAAGCAGCTTGAAACACCAAGAGGCCACAGAACCACCTTACAGGGATGCATAAATCAGACATGATCTGCTTTGTTGTAGGGAGTTTCTTATGGGTAAGTCATCTTTGACATTCCTTTTTATGTGGTCTCTGCTCAGCTATGGAGTGATCTTGGAAAGATAGAGGGCCATTAGCAATAATAATTCCCCTGCTATTAGAAAGAACTGGACATTTAAAAGGCACACACAGAGAAGATAATAATTGCTGTTCTTCCAGGGATGGTAACTCAGATATCAGGGTACCCAAGGCAAAGGAATGAGAAGGGCAGGAGTGCTGAAGGGACAGAGCAGGTTTCAAGCCAGGGTGGGTGTAATATGAAGCAGGGTATTTAAATGTTCTTAATATTTGAGCGTGGAGAAGGATCTACAGCTGGAGAATGACATGGCTTGTAGTGGAGAAAGGGAAGGTTGTGGTGACAATGAAGTTAGAACAGTACTGAATAGGATTTTAAGGACTACAGGAAGTTAATATATGAAACAATGCTGTTGGTAAGAGTAACTTCAAATCTACAGCAGAATATACAATAGAAACAATGGAAAATAAATAACAGTACGTCCTTACCAAAGGAGATCCACTCTCTTAATATAAAAGATACGTAAGATACATTTGACAAAGATTTAATTCACTTCAGCTGTGTCTTTGCTGCTTTTCTCCTTCTAGTTCCCCCACGTGAGAGGTGAGGAAGGCTGCCTTAACACTGAACTGTTAAGTATCTGTCAATCTTGCTCTTCTTTAGAGAAAACACTGAACAACAAAGGCAATACTGGACATGGGCGTTATGACCTGATGGTTGGCATTTTACAGAAAATCTTATTTAGTCATATTAAAGATTCATGTAAAATCACCATTACTTTGAATGTGAACTGTATCAATTGCTATTTGTATTGATCAACACACTGATTGCGTGGTACTGCTCCTGCTGCCTATTTGCATTACTGCAATAGTTAAGAGCTTTCTGGTGTAATTTCAATAGACTGGGATTATGAATTTAGAATCGAGCTTTCCTGAAAAAATTGGTTTGAAATATACTGCTTTGGTGAATATTACTAGCAGTGATGTCATTTTTAAGAATAACTGAAATTACATATTGACAAAAAAGAAAAAAACAAACATGAATGCAGATCTTTAAGGTTTGCAAAGGGAACTGGGCAAGGATAAATATCAGGAAAACAATCAAGGTATAAAGCAAACAGAAGGGAAATTCACCTGACAGGGATATCGATGAGGTTGGACAACTGTGTCCTCCACATAGCACAATGAGTTTTTCATCATTGTGGCATCTGGAATTTGGACAGGAAGTGAGGAGCATGAGGGGAGAGGGAGGAGGGTACCATAGGGATCTTTGCATTTATTTGGTGTTCTGTGGATAACGATTTCCTGCACCCTCTTCTCTTCAGCTGTACAGGTACAGAATGGGACCATCTGTGGTATATCTGGTAAGATAACATGTTAACTCTACATATCTGCATCTCTAGACAATTCCAGTAGCAAAGGGTGGGATTAAATGTGACCTGCTCAAGAGTGATGCCACCCCCTCCTTTTCCTTGGGATTCTATAAAGCTCTGCAAGAGCAAGGCAACCCCTCAGATATCTCACTGTCTTTAACAAAAATTGACCCTCCTTTTTTATTCCACATATTTAGTCATATGAACATGATTAATAAAGTATTCATGGCACAGTATGCCTTTTAAAAGACTGATTTTTAAAGTAAGTTCTGTCTGATTTCTTAGTTATTCCCACCAGGATGAGATTAAGAAGGATGGTAGTTGTTGAACATCTGGAAGGCTGAATTGATAAGGGAATGACAGGAGATTGTAAGATCCAGTTTTTCCTCTCTGCTTGTCACTCATGACTAGATGTCTGGAATATCTAGTTTTGGTTCCCTAATACAAAACAGGTGTTGGCAAACTGAAGCCAGTCCCCTGAAAAGCCAATAAAAAGAAGCAGGTTTCTTCAGCCTGGAGGAAGCTAAGGGGATAAAGTAACTGTAGTTTTCCACTAACCAGGGGGGATCTTGAGAGAAGATAAAGACAGAGACTTCTCAGAGGTGCTCAGTGGAAGCACATAAGCTGGCTGACCAAACTGCAGACAAGAAAATTCTGATTAGATAGGAGAAAAAATGCTTCCTCTGAGGATGATGCAGAACTTGAACACGTGCCTGGAGGGAATGATGGATCTACATCCCTGGATACTGTCCAAACTCAGCTGGACAAAGCCCCAGGTGACTTTGTTTAGCTTTGAGGTTAACCATGCTGTAAGCAGTCAGAAACACTAAGAGGCGTCCTGTAAACAAAATCTTTCTGTCCTAATTGTGTGTCCCCTCCCGTTGCAGGCTGGTGCTGGTGATTGGAGGGCTCCTGCTCCTGTGTGGCCTGGTCTCTGTCTGCCTGAGGTGCTGCTTCCAGTGCCATCAGACAGGGGACGAGGCGGGCCCCCCGCCCTACGAGGTCACCGTCATTGCGTTTGACCATGACAGCACCCTCCAGAGCACCATCACTTGTGAGTTGGCCTTGCCCCATCCTGGGGATTTCAACACCCTGTGAAATGGGGGCTGCACTCTAAAGCCCAGCTGGTGACACCCCAAGGCTGACAGAGGGATGTTATATAAAATGCAGCGAACCCCAGATTCGGGAAGAAATTGTCTGGCTCCAGATCAGAAGGCTGAAGGATCTGCTTTATTAAAACTATACTATATTACATGAATATACTATTTAAAGAGAGACTATCCTATTCTACATATTTCTTACATATCTAACTAATTAACAAACTCGTGACCCTCTGCTGAGAGTCTGAGCCACAGCTGGATCCGATTGGTCATTGAACCCAAACAACCTTCACCTGAATCCAATCCAGCAATAACTTCAGGTAAACAATCTCCATACCAAATTCCACATGGAGAAAGCAAAGGAGCAGAGACAAAGATTGTTTTCTCTTCTTCTCTCTGTGCTTCTCCAAGAATTCCTGAGATACACAATTATGTCTCTCTGTCCAGAGAATGTGAATGTCACAGGAAGTTCATGGCAGGATGGAGGGAAAGCAACCTCTGCACGTGCTGCAAACCAAGGCACTCAGCTGTGAGACATGTTTGGGTGGAATAAGGGTTCAGTGGCATTTCAGGAGAGAGGAGATGTGAGATGCTGCTAGCAGGATTTCACACACATACTCCTTTTAGGGAAGACTCAAGAAGCAGGAAAAGAAAAACATTCTGGCTGTGGGAATAGAAGAGCCTATGCCCTATGGGTATCCTTGCCCTTCTCTAACCACATGATGCTTTCAGGATGAGGCAAACAGCTTTGGTCTCCTCTCTTCCAGCTCTCCACTCGGTGTTTGGCCCTGCTGCCAGGAGGATATTAGCTGTGGCACACTCCCACAATGCTGCCCAGGGAACACCTCCCCTCTCTGCATCAGACACCCCTCCAGTGTACGAGGAAGCTCTGCACATGAGCAGGTTCACCGTGGCCAAGGCGGGGCAGAAGGTGCCAGAGCTGGATCCAGTGCCGGAGGAAAAGCTGCAGGTGCCTGCTGAGGGCACGGACACCCAGCCAGCCCTCCCAGGACACTGATGGATGTCTGGTTTTACCCGAGAGCAAAAAATACAGCATAGTTGCATGCAGAGACTAATTCAGGTGGGCAGAGTTTTAAGAATTTCAGATTAACTTCCTTAGTCAATTGAGAAAGGGGAGTGGGGGGGTGTGGGGGGGAAGCAACTAAAATTCCAAATATTTTCAGATCTAGTGTAGTCTAATGGTTCTTTTTGACAGCTCCTTCAGATAATTTGCATGTTCCAAGCCCATTCATTACATGCACACAAGACTAGAATCACACTTTGCATAAATACACAGGCAGCAGGATCAAGGTGCTGAGCCATTTTGTAGGCTAGTGATTGGCAGGGTGGCTGCAGATGCAGTCTCATTCCTCTTGCCTTTAGTCTAAGTTTCCTCAGGATGGCAGAGAGGTCTTCAAAACAGAAAAAAAAAAAGATATTTGCATACATCTATTATGGCCCAATATTAACACCAAACTTCCGAAAAATGCCAATCATTTATAGTGAATTAAAAAAAATAAATATGGGAACAATCTGCATGTAAATGAGAGACAGCATACATACAGACAGTATGTACACAGTGTGCCCTTAATGCCCTGCAGGATACATAGAATAAACAGAGTCTGGTTCTGAATGGGATATATAGCAATTCTGAAATGGTAGTCACAAGCTCTTCTATTTCAATTAAAAAGTATTATATATGTACCAACAGATCAAACAAGGGGAGCAGAAAGAATACTACCTCTGAAATAAAGCTCAATCATATTTTCAATGCATTCATATAGAATCACTTATTAATTCCCAATGTTGCTGGCAAAACCAAATCAGTTGAAGTAAGGCCATTTAAAACATGCAAGCCATTTCTCAGATTGAATTTTTGAGACTCTCCTGGTCAATACAAATATGCTGAACCATCCAGAAATATTAATGAAACTGGATGAACATAGGTATGGCCCATCTGTAAAACCTTGGACTAGGCTGTCAGGATAAGGTGAGTGTGGAACTACATCAGTGTTGTCTCTACCTGGATGCAGCACCTGAAAACATTAAAGCAGCACAACATTAAATATCACATGATGATTCATTCAGCCATGAATAAATTGCATGTATATGTTCATGCTGATATGAAGGCACAGGTTACATCTTTCTGAAATTGCTGAAGTACCCAAATTCCCACTTTAGTTAATATGCTGGTCTCCTTTCCTGTGAAATACAGAAAATACAGTTATTTTGTAGATAAGAAGAACAAGGACAAGGTCCAACATAGACTAGGATCCGAACATGTTTAGGAATCTAACTGCTGTTGAGATTACAACCATATAAAATTTTAGAGAAGGTTGATAAAATAGCTTCAGGGATAGAATAAAACTAAATTGAACAACCAAAACATCTTTGATGATGCCCCAGACCTTGACCAGTCAAAGGAATTTAATGAGGGTCTTGATTTTGAGGTCACAAACTTCTTCCTAAATTGTCTAGTCATTATTAACTGTATCATTAGCAAGTGATAAACTGGAATGGAATAAATAAAGAAGTTACATATACGTTTATATCCCTTCTGCTATTACACCTTTCTTCAGTCTTAGAACTGTAGAATGGTTTGGGTTGGAGGGGACCTTAAAAATCATCGGGTTCCAACCCCACTGCCATGGGCAGGGACACCTTTGGCTAGACCAGGTTGCTTAGAGCCCCATCCAGCCTGGCCTTGAAATAATAATAATAATTATTACTGCTTGTGGAGCACCTGTTCGAGTGACCTCTTTTATCAGCTGCTCTCTGAAATGCTGTTCAGGCCTGGCTTCACCAAGCTGCAGAACATTTCCTGGAAGGCTCTTGTTTACTCCACAGTAAAAGCCTGAAGCAAGCAGAGACATTTGAGTCTGCTGAACATACGTCAAGTACTGCCAAGCCCAGAAACTCCCTGGAAATCTTCACAGTGCTTTTCGGGGGGAACATCCAGCTCATCCTGCCTGCAAACCCTGAGCTGTCCTGGCATTTAACACGTGATGGTCACTCTGCTCTACAGGTCAGCAATTCTGCCAAGAAAGCCAAGTAATCCCAGTGCAGGAGCAGTCATTAAAGCATCTTTCAATTCCTGAAAGCCCTTTCTGCAGTCAGGCTCAGCTCTCTCTTAGAAAAGGGCTCAGGACTGGACAGACAGCATTTTTTCCCTCCTTTGTCCTTGTGAAACAGTAAATATCCTAAAGCACAAGTCCATTTCTGAGGTGAAGCCTTTCCACATGATGTTCCCCAAGCAGCCCCAGTGCTGAGCTGCACCAGATCCTGCAGGACAAACTTGCCCAGCTCATTGTGCCACAGGGGCTCGCAGCGCATGCTTGACACTGGGGATGCAGCCTGGACTGCAGCCAGAGCATCATCTTTTGGGTGGTTTCCCATCCCTTCTCTTCTAATGCTAACACCATCAGATCTCTAGGCACATGCATACATTCCTTCCACTAATCAGGATTATTCCACAAATCAAAAAAGAGAAAAAAAAAGAGAAAAAAAAACCAAAACAGCATATGGCGGGTGGTCCATTACATTCCTTTAACAAAACAGCATTATTTGCAAAATGGTATTTGTAATTTTCAGTCCCATTTATTGGTCACTTTTCACAACCATTAAGCTTATTTAATGGCCACCAATGATTCAACAAGTTGTTTTCATGTCTGGGGGTCACCCCTCCCAAACCCCCAACCTTTTCCAGTTCCTTAGGACACAATCCAAAAGGGAACCCTTTGGGATCCCTTCTCGTGGGAGCTATGAACATAGCCCCACTCCCATATTTACCATTTTAGGAAAAAACCTTTTAACATCTTTAAAACTTTTTACAAACTTTCTGTAACTTCTTACAATCTTTCACAACTTTTTACAACCTTTCCCAAAACCCAGGCTGGTTTGAAAAATCCCTGAGCCTCACACTGCAAACTTTCTATTAGTGCAACTTATGGGCAGGAAAAAAATCTTCAAATAAAGTACTTTAAGTGATGTTGTATTATTTCTCCCAGAAAGGGCAGAGTGGTCTACTCACCAGACCAGGAAATAGGAAGATCTCCCTGAAAATATTCTGGTGTGCACTGGAGTGCTGACGATTCCTCTCGTCCACTGAGTTGGCACCTCTTTGTCCCATCTGGGGTACCAGAAACTGCCACCAAAAGCTGGGAAATAAACTCTTTAACCAATTTGTTGGGGTAGAAAGTCAACATAACTTTATTTGGTGTTAGGGTACATGGGGATAGCTCCACAGAACATGCCAGTTATCAAAACCTTTAACTATTCATACATCTGAGCAAAGAAGTTAGTATTCATTGGCTTACAAGCTACATAGTTCTCTCCATTAAATAGTATTCTATTACCTATTGTTATTTATTTATTGCTTCTAATGCCAATTAATCCACATCTTTAGTATTTTTATTATTTATTTATTTTTCCCAGGTAGAGAGAATCTCAGTAATTTTCTTTGTTAGTTTCTCCTTCATCTCCAGTTTCTCTAAGTGTCTTTGGTTACAAATTCTGCATTCTTTGTGGCCAGGTCTCAACGACAAATTTCTCTCTCTGGTCGAAGAGCACTGAAGCACACCAGTCCCTAAATTGGTAATTTGTTTTTCTAACACATAGGCACCATCACCCATAGCTTGCCTGTCATCTGTTACCCAATTCATGGATTAAATATTCTTAAAGCAATTTCCCTCCCGACACTGCCGCACAGGCTCCTTTTAAGAGAAATATTAACTTGTTTGGTAACAGTGCCACCCTTAGGTTCCCCTAAAACACGGAGCACTTGAGAAAAACCGGTTTTCAGAAACATCCCACTGGCCCCACTGTTGCTCCTTTGTTTTCACAGGAACAATGATGCCCCTCCCCAACAAGCCACTCCCAATCACTGGCTGGAACAAATGGATCTCAAACTCTGCTTTGCAAGTCTGGACTGTTCTTTACTGCTGCTTTTGGTCATGCAGCAATTGTGATTGTGTTCCTTAATCTCCTCATTACATCATTTGTATGCCTTTAAGCAACTGTAGCTGAAGCTGGGCCATACAAGAAGTATGGCAAGAAAGAGAAGCCTTTTTTGTAAAATAAAAAGCTAAGAAATTGTAGAAAATAGAGCAGCGAGACAGCAGCCCAGCATGGACAACACAGAGTGCTTTCCTAGAGGAAAGGAAAACATTTAGACAATTAAACATTGTTTACTGGGAGTGAGTAACCCTGTGCCCTCATCCAAGACCAATGTGCCCATACTGGCTCTGAAGGTGCTACAGATCCAGTGCCAAGGGAAACTGGTGACCAGTCACGAGGGACACAGCAGAGACACCAGGCAAGGACCGTGCCACGGGTGGCAGCGAGCAGATCAGAAGCACGAGTGCCTTCAGGTATGCCACCTGTGGTTTAATCACTGTTCAGACCACAAAGCACAAATTCCCTGACAAAAGACACTTTGATGTGCAGAGTCCACACTTAAGATTAAATAAAAAAAAAAATTTCTGTCTCCGGCTCCTATGGATGCAGCATTGGCAACACTTGGGAAATCCCTCGTGGAATGTACCACATGATACTGCAGTACAGAACGTGCTCACAGCGTTCTGACACTCTGGGTTAAGAAAAAATATATTGTTTTGACAGTCCTTGAAGGAGCACTTTGTGCTGGCAGTCCAGGGTAGGAAAATTAGCCAACACCATTTCCAGTTCCTCCCTCTGGCAAATGAATCCAGAAGGTGGAGTTTGTCACATGCCCATGGGCTGACATTTTAACAACCCTAAGTCAGATGTTTAGATGTTTGTCGCTGCTTCTGTATGTATCATCTTCCTGCCTGTTTTGCCAGTGACGTTGTTGTTATTATTGAAGCTGAAGGAGAGAGCTGGGAATTCGGTGCCTGACAAAGTGGGGAAGCAGGAGGAGCAAGTCTTGGGGCTGCACAGCCAGAGCTGCACCATCAGGGCAGGGAGAAACTTCAGTCAGGGCATTTGCTGAGGAGAAGTCACCGAGCAATCTGCTCACAGGGCCATGTCTTTGCATCAGAACAGGAAAAAAAACTGGCACTTTTCTCTGATTTGTCATGAGAAATTAAAACCAGGTGTTACCTTAGCTGCCTTGGGAGCAGTCCTGGGGATAAAACCAGCTATTCACAGGATAAGAGGAGTTTGAGATCAGTCTCTTTAAATTGTCAGAATATGCTGGTGGCTTAGGTGAAAGACTAGAAAACTTACTCTCTTTTGTGCTTGAGGAACATCACTGCAAACCTTCAGTACACCTCAGCAACTGCTGTGCTACAGGCAGTCAGGAAGCAAGGAGGCCAAACACAGGCTTCACATAAAAGTTTAATGCCATGAAACCAGAATTTTCCTTGGGTCTAAACCCTGGGGTTCCTTCAGTCCGAGCTATTTGCTTTGGAACTGCAAAAAAATAATTCCTTCCTTCTGACTCATCCCTCTGAGCTCCTCTGACCTGGCAACCATGGGAGAACATTTACGTGTCCTAGGACAGACAGAAACGTGTTGATGGTGCTTCCTGTACAAACCCGGTGCACATGAAGTAGAGAAAGCTGGGACACGGTGGCTGGTGACATTCCCACTGTGGCCTGCTTGATCCTCAGGAGATTTAGGCATGCACCTGCTGGAACTCACCATTAGCAAGAAGTCACACCACCCCATACTAAATAAAAGTATTTGGTATAAAAAAAAAGTACCAGTAATAAAAGCTTAGAAAGTAAAGGACTTGCCAGAGTTTTTGCAGACACACTTCAGCCATCCAAAAGTAGGTGTCATGATTCAGGTGAGAAGAATCACACCCCAACACACCTTTTCCTACCCCTGGTCATCTTCAGCCAAGACAAGGGGTTGAATTAGGAAATCTGTGTCTTTTTAGCTCTGCCTTTGGTGTGGCCATGGAGAATCACCTTATACATCTGGCTGTTCCACTCATAGTCTGCTATGGCTAAAACACCTGCAGAGATAAAAGATCAGCCTTGGCAAAGTTGTGTTTCCTCTAGGTAAAGTATGTAAAGAAAAGATAATTTAATACAATTCAACTCATTGTCCCTAGGGTAGCAGCAATTGATTTTTGTCCTGATTTGAGCATGCTGAGCCATTCATTAATACCTGCTCTTCTGCTGATCAGTGAATAATTGTGAGTTGATCTACTCCTAGGAAAAAAAACCCAGATATTGTATGTGCCAGCTGAGTAACTGGGGCCGAAGTCGGCTCGGTGTTTTGGCTTCTTTGCAGACCTTTAGCTGCCTGCTGTTTGCAACATGCATCTGGTGTGACCCATCACACGGCAATGCTTTCTGCCACCAAGGTGCTACAAACAAGGCAACCACCCAAACCCCAGCAGCCACGGGGCTGGTCCGAGTGAAACAGAGAATTCTGGAATTCACTGAAGTTAACAAAATGAATTAAGCATTTCTATTTTAGCTTGTAAAATTATGTGTTGAATTTTAACCTTTTACTTAAGAAACCTCCGCCAAGGTACAAAAGGGCATAAGAAAATGCAAATTACTGAAGCTTCTTGCATAAGCAATAACAAAAAGGGACCAAAAAGAAAAAGAACCCAGATAAAG